CGATATTAACCAAAGAAAGAGACCATGAACTTTAAAGTGAAGGGGACATGTAAAGGCTGGAGGGAGGAAAATGATTTAATTCTTTTTCAACTAAAAACATATTTAAGCCAGGCAGTGGTTTCACATACCTTTAATCCCAGCATTTAGGAGGCATATGCAAGGAGATTGCTGAGTTCAGGGCAAGCCTGGTCTACATAGTGAGTTCCAGGGCAGTCAGGGCTATAAAGAGAAACTGGCTTCAAAAAAACATTTAAAAAATAAATAACAGGGCTGGAGAGATGGCTCAGTGGTTAAGAGCACTGATTGTTCTTCCAGAGGTCCTGAGTTAAATTCCCAGCAACCACAAAGTGCCTCACAACCATATATAATGAGATCTGGTGCCTTCTTCTGGCCTGCAGGGGATACAAACAGACAGACTGTGTATACGTAATAAATAAATCTTAAAAATAAATAAATAACTACCAGATGGTGGTGGCACGCATCTTTAATCCCAGCACTCAGGTGGCAGAGTCTCTTTGAGTTTGAGGCCATCCTGGTCTACAGAGCAAGTTTCAGGACAAGCTTCAAAGCTACAGAAAACCTGTCTCGAAAAACCAAAAAAAAATACATACATACATACATACATACATACATACATACATACATGCCTTCATAGGCTGCTGTGTAAAAAAAAAAAAAAAAATCCACAGCTATAATCCTAGCACTTTGGAGGTTGAGTCAGGAAGACCAAAATTAGAGGTCAGTAATGACATAACTGATTCAAGACAAGCCTGTACTACATCAACTCTGGATCAAAAAAGTCAGAAAAATAGCTCAAGGACAGAACCCTGCCTACATGCACAAGGACCTAGGTTAGAGTCTCAGCACTAAGAAAGAAAGGATTGAGAAATTAATATACTACACAGTCAAGAAAATTTTAAATCTATCAATCCTTGATTTTTAAAAAAATGGGGGGAGCATAATCTTGTTTCTACAATGATGAAAAAAAGGAGGTACAGAGAAGAAATAAAAATAATGTTTAATTTTGCTTTGAATTCTGAAATGTTTGTCATCCAACTTTTGAGACAGGGTCTCACTTGATGCCCTGACTGGCCTAGAACTCACTATGTGGACCAGCTGTGGCCTCGAACTCATAGAGATCTGCCTGTTTCTGCTTCCTGAGTTCTGAGATTAATCATGTGCCACTATGTCAATCATCATCCAATGTTTTGTTTTTTCTTTTCTTTTTTTTTTTTCTTTTTCCTTTGTGTGTGTGTGTGTGTGTGTGTGTGTGTGTGTGTGTGTGTGTGTGTGTGTGTGTTTTGAGACAGGGTTTCTCTGTATTGTTTTGGAGCCTGTCCTGGACTCAGAGATCAGCCTGCCTTTGCCTCCCGAGTGCTGAAACTAATGTCGTGGGCCACCAACACCTGGTTCATCCAATGTTTTTTAAATGTGTTCTGAGGACTTAGAATTCATTTTTAAGAATATACAAGCTTCACAGCCCAGTCAGGGCTACATAGAGACCCTGTCTTAAACACACACACACACACACACACACACACACACACACACACACACACACAGAGGCTATGAAGGTAGGCTAGGTGGTAGCCCAGGAAAGTAGCCCATCCCTAACACTCAGGTAAGGAAGCTATACACGGTAGCCTGTGCTGGTAATCCCAGTGCTGAGGAGGTCCTACTAGGACTTTTGATAACTGGCCTAATCACTGAAACCCAAACTGATAAAAGAGATAAAAAGATAAATGGCACCTGAGGAAGATTCATACCTGAGGTTGTCCTGTAGCCTATCCATGCAAGTGCATATGTGAGCGTGTGTGTTTGTGTGTGCACAAGAACACATAAAATATACAAGCTATAACCCAGGCCTGTTGTGGGCACCTGTAATCCCAGCACTCAAGATAGAGACAGAGGCAGGTACATCTATGAGTTCAAGGCCAGTCTAGTCTGTATAATGAGTTCTAGGACAAAATGATATCCTGTCTAAAAAATGCACACACACACACACACACACACACACACACACACACACACTACAAACTAATGTATCATAGTAAAATAAAGAGCTGTCAAAGCTATTAAAATGCTTAAAATGCTTAGTATTCATGAAAATAAGCATAATTCCCTAGTCAAAAACATTCTTTAAAAAAAAAAGTTAAGTTAGGCCAGTGAAATGGATCAGAGGGTAAGGGTGCTCACTGTCAAGCACCCAAAATTCATCCTAATTTCTAGTGCCTGAAACATAAACCAGACTGCGCTTTCACTCAGGACCAATGTTATCTGTCACTAACATAACACTGCATTTCAAGGTCCCACTTTGCTAGGTAAACTCCGTGCAATTTCTGGTTTGTGGTAACACAACAGACTTCTTTTATAATTCTGTGTAATTATCGATAAGCAGTAGATAGTGCTCAATCATTTAAATTAAAGTCAAAGGGCCAAATAGTTCTATCGTGCTTGTTTTTTCTGGCTTTTTTGTTTTGTTTTGTTTTTTTCTGGTTTTTCGGAGACAGGGTTTCTTTTGTTAGCCCTACCTATACTGGAACTCGCTCTGTAGACCAGACTGGCCTCAACCTCACACCTGCCTCTGCTGCAGAGCATGGAGATTTAAATTGTGTGCCACCACTGCCCAGGCGAAACTGGTTTTTTATTTATAAAATTCTATCTGCCCCACCTTACCTTATACAAAGTAAACAGATAAAATTGACACAGGTATTTGCACCTATTTACTCAGGTGCCCCCAAAAGGTTACCAAACCATCCTATAGACCCAGAAAAGGCTCTATAAAAAATCTTTCTTTCTGTAGCTTAACCTGAAAGTCTGATGTCTAATTTGAGTGAACAGTATCATGCTTTAAACATACCCTGTTTACACTTAAAAACTACTTTATCAACTTGCTCCTCTTTTGATTTAATAACTGTAGTAAAACTGACAAAAACAAACACATTCAAATAACCTTTATTAAGACTTAAATACATAGTTTACTACTTCAAATATGCATTTTAAATCCACAGACATGCTTCACAACAAATTAAATGAAAACCTCTCACCAGGTCATCCTTAAATGTATCAATTTCATTTATATTTTAAAATATACAATCTTGCTGGACATGGTAGCCCACATACCTTTAATCCCAGCACTTGGGAGGCAGAGACAGGTGTATCTCTGAACTTAAGGCCAGCCTGGTCTACAAAGTAAATTCCAGAACAGCCAGGGCTACACATAAAAATCCCTGTCTCAAAAAAAAAAAAAAAAAAAAAAAAAAAAAAAGAAAAGAAAAGAAAAAGAAAGAAAGAAAACACAATGTACAATTTTAATTTGATATAAAACAAATCATCAAGAGCTGGAATAAAGTTTAATTTTAGAATTTCTTAACACCAGGTATATCACTGGTATTCACACCCTTAAACTTAGAAACACTTCTAAACCTTGCAGCTGTAAATCATTGTGACTGTGCCTTATTTCATGCCATGTAAGCCATTGACTAATTGCCCCCAGACCTGTCAAGCTCAACAGCATTCAGGAAATGACTGGTCTACTTGGGTTGGAAATACATCAAGAATTTGGAATATTTCTCATATTGAAACAGGGAGAAAAAATTCAACTAAGATTGTGCTTAAGAACAATCATCATACTGTTGGGAGAGGGAGACACCACTAAACGGCTTACTTTTGCTATTCTGCTAAGTCCAAAATTGTTGCAACTACAATTCTGTATCTTATCATCTATTTATTAGGTAGTCGGTCCAGTGAACTCATAATTTTCCTTGTATATAAACTAGTTATCACTTCTATATCCTCACTTTAAAATGTCTTTTTCGTCATATTTTCATTTTCTATCCCAAGCTACGAAAACCACCTGGCGCATGGCTGATTTTTTTTTTTTTTTAGAAATCTGTTAACAACAATGTCTGGCCTCTAATCTGCTTAATGTTTTTCACTTCTTATCAAGTGTCTAAAATAAATACCAGCACCACACAAACACACACTCAAATCTCAGTCATGAAAAATTAAGTCACATTCCGGCCATAAACTGTGCAAGACACTTCCAGTTAGCGTGAGCTTTAGTGATCACCGACAACAGTACCAAGAGTAAGTGGTAGGGGGTTGGGGCTGTTAAACAACACAGTGTGAATCAGAGCCAATAGCAGCAGCAGCAGCAGGCTAGGACTGACAGCAAGGCCAGTCTCTGAAGGGAGATGTAACACTGTATCACAATGTGGATTTCTGAATGCCATTTTAGGGGAGCGAGAGGGAAAGAACTGGGAATCAAGTGTACTAAACCCGTCTGATGAATGTTCGAGGAGAGGAAACCTAGACAAGGTCTTCTGGCAACACCAGCTATCTAGTCTCGTCTCACCTTAAACCCAACTTCATTGCAGGTCTTTCTTAATCAAAGTCAACCGCTGAAGGGGTGAGAGGTGGCAGGAGTAAATGGAAGGACAGTCATCGCCCTCACAAGAGCGGCAAAGACCCTGGGAAAAACTAGAGGTTCCCTAATAGGAAAAGACTTCCAGGAGCAGAAAGAACGCTCTGCAGCCGCCTTCTCTTTCTCCAGCCAAAGCTGTTAGGAACCAGATCTGGATATTGTTTTTTGTTTGTTTGTTTGTTTTTTGTTTTTAATGAAAGAGTGATAGGAGAAAATGGCACTCAAGGATGAGGGGGCCTGAAGGAAGGACTGAACCATCCAAGAAGCGATGGATAGGGCTTCCCTGGACCTAGACAAGATAACAACGCCACCAGAGCGCATCGAATGGCCAGCCAGCGCCCGGTAGCCCCGTCACTGAGAAGGCTTCGCCCCTTCCCCAGGCGCCCCAATTCCCAAACACCGCTCCCCACTCCACCTCCCTGCCCCCAATATTCCCACGGCTGGCCTCCTGGCCTCGGCCAGGCACCCCACGCCCCAGCCGACCCTGCCCGCCCTCCCTCCGTCCCCCCGGGCCACCCACCCCCGGGCGCCCGGCTCTGGCCTCCCCGCAGCTCGCTCGACCCCTCCCCCTCACCTCTCCTCAGCGCCTCCTCGTAGCTGAGGAATCCGATCCGTGACTCCTTGGCGCCCATGCTCCCTTCATCCCCTCGGCCGGGGGTCGGAGCCTGGTTTCGCCCCCACCCCCCTCCCGCCTTCTCCGCGGCGTCGCCGGCTGACGGTGTCGGCGTCGCCGGCCCCCTCCTCCCCCAACACTAACAAGTGCGGCTTCTGCCCCGGCGACTCCTCCCGACCGCCGCCGCCGCCGCCTCCATGCCGAGTCACGTGACCCGCTCCCACCCCGCCCCCTTCCCCTCCCTCCTACTCCGCCCTTCTCTCTCCTCCCTCCGCTTCTCTCCTCACTCCTCCTCCCCTCCCCTCGGCCCCCCTCCCGCCAGCCCCGCCGTGGGTCACCTGACCCGAGGCCCGGGACTGTTCCGGGTAATGGCGGCTCGGGGCCACGCTCCGCCCCACCCCACGCTAACAGCGCGCGGGAGCGCAGGGGCGGGGCGGCCCCGCCGCACGTAGCGCGTCATCTTCGTCTTCCCGCCAATCGTAGGCCTCGGATCCCGCCGCGGCGCTCAGCTGGAGAGGAGGGCGGTGGCTTCCGGGGCGTCCGAGGACCGTTCTTCCCGCCCCCCACGTCCTGGCGTTCGACGGGCGGGGCCGGAGCGATGACGGTTGGTGCCGCGGTGGCCGAGACCCACCTTGGAAGCCTCGGGGAATGTTAGGGAGCAGGGGTCTGAGGGGAGCGGTGCTGCGGGAGACAAAGGAGCGGGCGGCCGGGGAACCCCTGATGTTCGGGACGGAGGGGGGGCGGTCGGCAGAAGTGGAAAATAAGAATCTCAAGGCTTTCCTGATACTGCACTTCCTCTCAGTAGATGGACCCTGATGTCAGGGCACTGAACCATGTCACAGAATTTGAGTATTTCCTTTTCTGCGCTTTCCCGTTCTCCGGACCCGGCTGCCTTCGTTTTCTTTCACGGTCTCAGGCCCAGCCGCTACATGGCCTACCTCCTTCCCGCTGAACCTGTCCTCCCCACACCCAATCTTTTAAAGACCCCTTGGGTGTGTTGCTTTGATGGGGTTGGATTGGATTTGGTTACTGAAGGTTCTTTGTAGCCCAGACTGGCCTCGAACTTGGCGATTTGCATGCCTCAGCCTCCCGTGTACTGTTTCCACAAAGAGCGCCACCACACCCTGCCTCCTTCATGTACAAATTATTTATGTTGCTTCAGCTAACACTTGCCCTCTAGAAATTAGGCAGTTCAAGACAGAGTAGCCTCCTTACCAAAAAAAAAAAAAAATATGTATTATGGTTAAAGTGAATTCGTAGCATTGAGTACATTGACATCGTTATGCAGCCTTAGTTTATCTTCAGGACTACTTCAATTAGCAGAGAACTGAAACATTCACTCAACAGTAATGTTAGTCATGGCACCACTGTAAATCAAACCACATTTCTCCTATGACTGGCCTATTTCATTTAAAGTGGCTCATTAGGTTGTAGCATGTTAGATTTTCCCATAAGGTTCAGCAATTCCACTTCTGAGTACATACTCCAAAAGAATGTCTTCAAAAAGATGTCTAAACAGCTATTTGTGCACTCAAGTTTGTAGCAATAGTATATACATTAGTCAAAAATGTTAAAACCCCCAGAGGCAGAGGCAGATGGATCTCTGAGTTTGAGGCCAACCTAGTCAACACAGCAAGTTCCAGGACAGCTAAGGCTACCCAGAGAAACCCTTTCTCAAAAAAAAAAAAAAAAAAAAAAATCAAATGGTGCATAAATACAATGGAATTTTTTATATCCTTTTTTGGGGAAATTCTTATGTAACTAGCCTTCAGATACTATAAACATATGCCCAACACCTGGTTCCCAATTCCTTTCATTTTGATTCTAGTTCATATCTGTCTTCACCATGAAAGTCATAAGATGAAGCTTCTCAATAAGAAAAAAGTAACTATTTGGATTAGAGTAGGCTCAAGGTGCCAATTAGATAATTTAGAGCCAGAAAAGGATTTCGATTCCTGAAGCTGACTTGATTGACACATGCCCTGCACGGAGAAAGGTATTTCTCTACTTACCTTTCCTGGTGGACCAGATCAACAGCAAGGACACATTAGTCACAGCACTGCCCTTTCCAGTTCTCTGAGGCAGTTCATTTAAGACCTGAGATTAGCTGTATTGCTAAAAGCCCATGAATCAGGAGGCTAGGGATGTATTCCAGACCCTTTAATTTCCATGTCATCAGTTCAGTGTGTCTTTAGACAAAGCAATTCAGTCATCCTGCAAAGTATGACTTCTGAAATAGGTTATTCTTTTTGTTGTTGTTGTTGTTGTTGTTGTTGTTGTTGTTAGAGACAGGGTTTCTCGTAGCTTTGGAGCCTGTCCTGGAACTGTCTATGTAGATCAGACTGGTCTTGACCTTATAGAGATCCATCTATCTCTGCCTGCTAAGATTAACAGCGTGCACCACCACCATCTGCCTGCTTAGTTGATTTACAGTGGATTTGGAGCAAATTATTTTCTCCCCTTGTGGCACTGACTCACTTGAAAGCTGGAACTGCTGTTGGAATCTGTCTCATAATTATCACAAAAATATCAGGGAAAACTAGATTTAAAACCTACTGAAGTTTAAATGTTGCTATCATACAGGAACTTTCAAGATTCTGTCATTACCTGGGAATAATGACTTGCAGCTATAATATCAGTGCCTGGGCCACAGAGGCAAGAGAATCTCAAAGTTCAAGGCCAGTCTGATATACATAGCAATGCCCTGTCCCAAAATACAATAAAATATTTTTAAAAAGGTTTTGTTCTTAAGTTTCAGATCTGGCTTCCTCCAGAATCATTAAAAACGTTTCATTCCATCACAGAGTTCATCATGGATTAAACACTCCTAAAAATTAGGAATTGAGATAGCAAAGTACAAAGTACTATTTCTTCTTTGAGTTAAATTTCACATATTATTGAAGAAGGCAGTGAGAAGGATAGTTATGTCTGATGAGAATTTTAAATGTTAAACTGAGATAAGAACCTGTCTCTGGTTTGTATCACAAGTCATGCAGCTAAATGTTAAACATCTCCCTATAACTTAAAATTGATACAATACTTATGTTTGATGATGCAGAAAATGTAAAGTCTACTTGTCACTATACTGAAAGAATTCTATTAATCATTTAGCTTCTTCAGTTTCACTTAATCCATTGAAGAGTTGGCCAGCTTCCTCACTTTAAGCATTAGGTTGTATTTAGGAAATCATTCCTTTTTTTTTTTTTTAGGAAATCATTCCTTTAGCTGTAATTACACGCCTGTGAAAAGGTTATCCATACAAAGATTGAAAGCATGGGAGATTAGTATGTCATTTCTGCTTCTGAGTGGGCAATATAAATGACAATGTTCCTTAGTTTGTATTCCTGGACAAATGACATAAGAGGTCAGAGTCATTTTAGTTCTTGCCTGAGAAGCATAGCTATTCTAGAGATAAACTAATAATTAACAAGGGATAGACCCATCACCGAATCAGGAGTAATTTGACTGCCACAAGAGGCCAATGCTCTATGAAGTTTAACTGTCCAGTAAGTGAATTTATTTTCAGCATTAGGGACTTGTATCCTTATAGTTTACACAATTTGAAGATGAAGATGTGTGTATTATATTAGCAGTATATCACTTTGAGCTATTTTATGCAAATAATACATCTCTAAAGAATATTTTCTACCCAGTGTGGTAGCACACACCTTCAACTCCAACACTCAAGAGGCAAAAACATGCAGGACTCCAAGTTCCAGGCCAGCAGAACTTGTCTCCAAAAAATGTGTTTTCAGTTGGTACTTAAGCATCCATAATGTAAACTCACTGCTTCACCTAGTCACACTGCCTGGAGAGTTTTCCATGCTTACACACCATGTTTTCCAAGTATGTAACACTGATTCTTTTGCATACATCTTTCATAGTCTATATACTGAACTTCTGGGTTTTTAGTTTGTTTTTCAGTTTTTCGAGACAGGGTTTCTCCTGATTGTCCTGGAATTCACTGTGTAGACCAGGCTGGCCTAGAGCTCATAGAGATCCACCTGCCTCTGCCTCATCAGTGCTAGGATTAAAGATTTGGGTTTTTTGTGTCATCCTTTCCTTTATCAGGCTTTTTCTACAAAACCATCCTATTGCAGTTAAATAAGGATCAGGATAAACAAATAGGCAGATAGATATTTATTCAGGGAGAAATAACTTATAACCTAGACAGATGAACACCAGCAAGTTCTACCGGATGCATCCTGTCCGAGTTCCGCCAGCAAGAGAGCGTTCCTGGTTCTTCCTCAGACCTCCTTCCACAGGTCATTTCCGCCCATGGCTCCACCCCCAATAGGCGTGGTCAGTGCCACAGAAGACAAAGTAACTATCTCACTACACCATCCTAATTGTTTTTAGATTGTAATTATTTTAAACATGTATAAAATGCCAATACATGTATTTTGTTTTTCTAATTATCTTTCCTTTCTAGACTCTGAATCTCTTCTTGATCCGTAACTATTCTGCTGTGGAATATGCCACACCTATAAAATGCCAGCATATGATAAGTCACACAGTAGGAGGATCAGGAGTTCAAGGTCATCCTTAGGTACATATCCAGTTCTAGTCCTGCCTGTTGTGTATTAGAACAGCAAAAACCAGTTAATTACTTGATACTCAAGAACCTCCTAACACGTTCTGGAACCTAGAGAGATGGTTCCATGGTTAAAAGCACTTCCTACTATTCAAGAGGACCTGAATTTGTTTCCCCCACCCATGGTGGCAGCTCACAACTGCCTATACCTCAAGCTCCAGGGGATTTGATGCCTTGTAACCTCTGCTAGCATGTATACATATATGTTGTGATCACGCACACGCACATAAAAAATTTTGAGACATATGTTCCTGCCTACAAATAGCTATTTAAAGCCAGTAGTTATGCTTGCAAACTACCAGATTATACCAGTGGAAGTGAAGATAGGGGAAAAAATCACTGGAATCTAAAAAGCTAGAAAATGGCATTTGAACAAAAAAAAAAAAAAGTTTGATAATCCTGTTTAAGTTCTAGTACTCTAGTAGAGGTAAAGGAGAGAAACAAATGTGGGTTTCCTAGAAAAGGGAAGGAAATTAACATAGAAAAGAGGATGTTGGACAGCCTTTCACTTGTACCTACTCAACATTTTCCCACT